TACCCTTCATTGTAGTAAAAGCGTAATATGGAAAATAACACGGACAACATAAACATGAAAAGTTCATGAAATAAACCAGCTTTGTTTTGCTTTTTTGTCCAAATTTTATGGATAAATTGGTCAAACAAATTTGACAAAAAGTTTGACCGCTAACAGAATGGTTTAATTTTACTCACATCATAATATATATGGCCGACGAAATTACGCTAAGATATATAAAGAAAAGCGTTGCAGAGAAACATAAATACGTATCACATTTAACAATAGACTGTTGTACAGTCGGGTAAATCCGCGGTGTTAATACGGAAAAATTGCCCTATTCCGAGAGACATAACGAGACAAACTTCGTCTCTTCTTAGAGATCCATTAAGTAGGAGTTGTGTAAACGACGCGATATTAATACAAAGCAATTACTAATTACACATTTAAATCAAATTCACACAAACGCATTTAAAGATTGTGTTATTGTTCGGTGTCGTCTCAATGTGTTGAAAACTATCAAACGACTGTGCATATAAAGTGGAACACTGCCAAATTCCCCGATTGTACACACGATGATGAAATTCATTAATTTTACACCTTCTACTTTGTCTTCGATATTTGTTTTATTTCTATTTCTTTTAAAAGGATCCTTGACGGTCATCCGCTTAAAAGGCAATAATAAAATAATATTGACCTTAGTGAATCTAAAAGCGGCTTTTGTAATTCATATTTCATTGTAGCGTGAAATGTTAATTCCCTATCCACGAGGTTGACAAATTAACAAAGGAATTTTTAGTACAATGTTCAATCTGCCGCCGCATACAAATAATTCATCGCTTTATAACAATCGAGGCCATTGTCGGTCGTTTGGCAGAATGAGTTCGGGGTTAACAGAGCTCGCCGTGTCTGGCTTTTATTCAATTTACTATACCGGACATAATGGTACTATAAAAGGTCTCTAGTTGACATGATCACCTCATTGCCTATTAGATTTAAGAAATAAATAATGTGAATCCCTCAAACACGTATTAATTTAATCTCTGTTATCCAACGAAAGGCAAATACAGCATGAAATGGATATATTTTTACGTACACTCGAACGTTCGACATTTAACTTTGTAATTCTTTATATCCAAAAATAGAATAGTTGTTGTGAGAAAGCCGAGAAATCAATGACTTAAGAATTCTAATAAAGATCTCAGTCAACTCGTAAGACATTTAAAACATGGATCAAATATTCTTTCGTTTTATTATTAATTTCTTTAAAAGGTCAGCTGTTTCTTTGCTTAAGAACACTGAGAATAACAAAGGAATATTCCAATTTATTTGAGGAAGCCCGTCGACAAAATGATCAGCAGAATGTAACGGTTACTTATATCGGGGCCAATTGTTTTCATCGCAACTTCCAAATTATTCTTTATTCTTATAAAATATTTTGAGCTAAGGCCAAGAGTTCTTTTGTTATGAAAACATGTTTGAATAAGATGTACGATTTGATGTTTTTGCACATTAATACTGAAGATATATCAAGGGAATTTTGTGTTATGAATATATTAAGATGAAATGTCGGACGTTAAAAAAGATACGTCGATTTATATCGTAGATTTATTCGACAGTAAAAATACTAACATAATGACAAAACATTATTAACACGTATAATAACAAAGAGAAGCGTACAAGAGCACAAGTAGCTTCTGAACTTTAGAATCATAAGCTGTCGTGTGAAATATCACACGATAGAACTTTAAGCTTTCTCGTAGTTCCTGTTTCAAGGAAACGCTTCGAGGAATCGTTCACAGATTTGTTGTACAGTGAATAATAGATGCGAAATATACATAAATTTTTTTAAACTGTTAGTTGCAAAAAACACGTTTAAAAAAATACGTCCTAATAGTTTTACTCTAAGAGAAACCTTAAAAAATTATACGAACATTTATTATTATCTCTGTTTTCCTTAAAGAGTATTAGAGGTTACATTTCGGTAGTGAAAATTCACGTAGAAATAAATTGGCAGTTATTTATGCATGACTAAAGTATAAAAACATTGTCACACATCTACATCACGTACCGTGGAATGAGTATAATTCAATTAGGCTAATGGAACAAAACACCACAATTTACCTGAAATGTTATTTCGACGCTCGACTCGGATACATAACGTGTGTGGATATTATGTTAAAACAATTTAATTACAATATGTGCTCCGTCGCTAAATGTTCCGTAATGGAATACTACATGTCTAAATAAATCAGGTAAATGTTGATTGAGTAAAGCAATTTATTGAAAGCAACGATAGTAGAATATTATATTTCAACGTTGACCCTAGTTATTTTAAGAGTTCATAGGAAATTATTCCTACAGTAAGTTCCCTACACCTTACTTTAAGAATTCATTTTCTGTTATTATGTTTGCAAAAACAAAAGTCGTAGCATAATGTAATTATTATGCTACCGCTTTTGTAGCATAGATTAAGTTATCTAAAGTAGTATCTTTATTACTACATTTTAAAATTACATCATTTTTAAACGATGACTGAGCGGGCGCACACCTGTGACTAAACTATCGCACGACAGTTGTGCGATTGTCGATTGTTTCGCAGCCCATTCAACTGTTTAGATGCAGAACTAAGAACCTGCGCACCTCAGTAAATAGTTGTTGCGTCTCATAAGAATTAATCAAATTGAATAATTTATTTTCATGAAGCCTATTTTTTATAATAAAACGATTGAAAACAGACAGCAAAAAATCCCCACCGCAGAGTTCCTCATAATTGGATATTTGAGTTATGTACAGGTCGGTGTGATTTTGAAAGACAGATATGTACGTAACCAAACTCTATTTGCTTAAATTCATACGTAGGCAACCTAAACAAACATCCTTTGTGCTTCACGTTATAAACGGATCTTCTAACTACACAAAAGGGACAAGACGGGTCAACATGAAATATTTATTCTATTCTACCAAAATGATATACTGAAAGCGGATTATGGCTGTTTGATACTTTTTAAAAGTATTTATCCATTAGTACTGAGCATAGACAACTGTTTAAATTAAAGCATAGAGTTAGAAAGCAGTATCGAGTGTTTTCGTATATTTGTCTTATTTTAACCATCCAGATTTTTTTATACAGAACAGTTTTTAAAATGTCATGAAATGAATAAAATCATAATATTATTAATGCGGAAGTTAAGATGGATGTATGGATGGATAGATGGCTGTTTGTTAAAGTTTGTAGCCTAAACGGCTGAACAGATTTCGATGAAATTTGGTATAGATGTAGACGATAATCTTTAAGAACATATATACTCACTTTTTTTTAATTCCACGCGGACGGAGTCGCGAGCGTAAACTAGTGATTAATTTAAGGATCGTTCGATCAATTTGGTTGAAATCTTAAAAATACATTCTTAAGTCATTATAATGTGACTATGAGTAACAAGAAGATTACTAAATTTATGTTCATTGCGTTTGAATTATCACGTCATGTCACATATAAACAGATTATTTAGTTGACCGCTGGGAGTTACACATGTGTCGTAGCAAATTGACGGACACTGGTCGGTCGTCCAATTAACCAGACGCCTTGTTTTCTTATCGGAAGGAACGATCCCACAGTCGAGTAGTTCAATCATGACGCTCGTGAGATATTTAGGTAGTGCAAACTGTAGTATGAAAAAACAATTAAATCCTTTAGATCTCATTTTCTATGAACACATAAAAAGCAATGCTAATTTTTTTTTATCATTATATTTAAAACTAGCTGTAGAAAAAAACAAAAGCAAGTTGCTTCTTCTAGACTAAGTTCTACATCGAGATGCATTGAGTCGTTTAGGCTACAAAATCTAACAAAGATCCATCCTCCCATCCATCTACCTAAACTTTGCATTTATAATATTAGTATGATAACGCCGAAAAGAAACTTGTGCTAGATTAGGGCAATGTATAAAACAAATTAAATAATGCTACACTGTAAAAACAATATTCAAAATTTAAATATATTTTAGTAGCATAAATTAACTATATAAAACCAAAGTTCATAATACGTATTAGATGTAACCCACAAGATAGGTTTATTGTCGTAGTGACGTCCAATATTGATGGAAATTTGGTGGCATATTTTAGATAAAGCCGAATCCATTAGACACATTTGCCCTACGGTGACATTGCAAATAACACCTCTTTGCAAATATCAGCAATGTTATAAATGGGCATGACATTGGAAACACAATTTCTGTGTATTATTACACTATTTTGTTTTCAAAACTATTTAGAAAAAAACAATATTAAAACATTGTACTTTTTTCTTCAATAAAATGAATTTTAAATTCGATTGAAAAGTTTTGAAAGTTTGGGAATTACGTAAAGTTTTTGGTATTACTAGTGTAATAAATACATACAGTAATTAATGCTTAGGTATAAAATTACTACTCCACTTACCTAAATACTAACGTCAACAAACTTCATCCTTGTCTCGATATAAGAAGCGCGAAATAAAAAAACATTGAAGTAAAGTTTGCGCGGCAAAAATTTGAATAGGCAATTTCCTCTCACTTTAAACTTGAGTAATGTTTGTTGTATATAAATCAATTAATTATTATTTGACAGAAGGGGAGAGTGGGGTGTGTTTGATCGCGCGGGGACGCGGGCCGGCCGTGGCGCGAAGGCAAGTACTGCGGGGTCTGTGTACCTCCCACGCCGCACTTCCCCGCGCGCAAGCGCTACGCCTCACGCGACGTTCCTTAAACCGCACATTTTTCTCGAACCCAGCTCCCAACTAAATTGCAAAACCGCGGACCCGCCGAAAGTATGAAACGGCCGCTAGGGATTTCCTTGCCCCGAAAATATTTACAAAGAAAACAGAACTGAAATGGAGTTCTCTTGTTTTCTGGCTAATTCGCTAGCTGACTAATCTTTCTTCACATTTTCGCTTATCTTTTTACGTAGTGAAAATGTTTTTCTAAATTTTGCGTACCGCAAATCTACAAAATTTTAAAATCATAAAAAAAAATTATTTAACTCAACCATTTCGCCTTTTAATTCATTAATCTGAAATGTCAGATAAAAATACTTATAAAACAAAACTGAATAATATACATTTATTAAGCTACAAAAGAGATATAAACATCAATTCAATTCTTTTCAGAATTTTTTACTCCTTATTCTGGCTAACCATTAGTCAAAATTTTTAACTTCGCAAATTAAACGTAATTAATATAAATTATTCATATCGTTGGAATTTTAATTTTGCTTACATGAATTAATAGTGCGAATATTTCAAGAGTAAAAACGTGTCACGTAGCATTGCTCCTTTCCCTAGAGACTGTGCAAGGTCGGGGCGAGTCGTTTTACTATGGAAACTTAAATTACGATGTGATAAAATGAATGTTGATAAAAACTTTGTACCGAAAGTTTCCACTGTCTCGAAACATGTACAAAAACACAGTCATCCTTTTTGTTCTATTTGAAGAAACAGAGGTAAATAAATTTTGTAAAACCGACCACGGTAAGCAAAATAAAGTAAACAAAACTAAAAAGGTATGGTGTATTAGAATGTTCAGGGAAAGATAGATACGTGATAAAACAGTTGGTTTATTGACCTTATTTTGGAAGTAATAAATAACAGCAGGGACCCCAAAATATACAAAGTTCTACCGAAATTATGAAAGAGGAAATTCGTTATCTCTACAATGCGAAATAATAAGGTCGGTTGGGATGTATCCAAGCACAATTAAGCAACAAGCTTTTCCATACTATTGTTGTAACAATTTTTAAAATAAACTGCAATAAACCTTATTACAAAGGCAATAAAACGAAAAATATTTCAATAAAATGGAATGTAATTTTATGTAAATTTATTATTTTATAATTTGTGTCTTTAGCTTCGAATGGTTCAGAAAGAGTCTGCAAGGATAAAATTCTGAATATCGATATCGATGTATCGACGAAACATCTCTATTTTTCCTATTTGTTACCTACTTTCAAACCAACATCGATTGCATCGGATTAAGTAAACATAAGGTAACGTACCCAGATTCAGTTTTCCAAACGTTCATATTGAAATTTAAATTAGTGTAAATAACAGAACCTTCTGCCAGGGAAAAATATTGCACGGTGTTATAGAAAAATGTTAAATATGAATTCAAATATATTTTTTCATTTTTGCCTTTTCAATACCTTATTGTAGAAATTGCGCCGATTCTTTCATTCAGTTTACTTACAGCAACTTTACTTTGAATTGAAAATATAAGAATATGGCGATGGTACTGCGGGCGATTTTAATATTCTTGAATAACAAAAGAATCTATAAAACCGTTGTTCTTTCCTTTCTTTTTTTTAAGCGAGGCAATTAATATCGTGATTACTATTCCGCTGCTCGATTAAAATGAGTTTTTCTGTGTTTATTTTTTTTTTGTTACTACATTTTTTACTAATTTTTAGCGTAGTTTTTTCTGTACGATACCGAATAATACTCAACCAATGGGTAGTAAATTTAAGGCCATATCCAAGTTACTAAATCAGTATCGATCCTTTTCCTCTCCACTCACTCTTACCGATTTTTTGTTAGTTAATCTTAAAAAAATTAAAATATAAGAAATTTGACTGGTATCGTGACAAATGACGTCAAAATTAGGGCGGTGACCCAGTGATAATGTCGCTTGTAACAAATGGGGCCCTGTTCTGCACCGAATGGCGGTCTTGTTCTGAACTATGATTACCATATATTATTGCCAAATGACACTATCGTACGAGAGATGCGAGCATGCATGTCACCCCTCATAATATATGACTTAAGTGTTAACTTACGATATCATCTTTATATCGAAACTCTCATCATTGATAGTTTATCATTATAGAAATGTTTTTGATTTTTGGTATCCATAACATTTTTAATGCGATTTTCTTCTGACAAGTTAATAAATAGATGGAGACGACCCACTTTTTTGCTTAAACAAACTCAATTAGTTCGTTAAAATAGCACGGATGGGCATAGATAAGGATTCCCACAGAACGCGGCTCGTTAGTTCTGTAGCGACAGAGCCACGTGTAGCTTGCTTACTTAGTAGACAGTAAGCAAGTATCACTAGACACGAGTAAGCGATTATTTTAATAAAAAAGTGTACTCAAAGTGAACATAGTTACTATAAATAGGTATGTTTCAGTTCAAATTTTTCTTTTGAAGGTTTTATAAGAAAGGTCGAAAACTTGAAATGTAATGGTATATCTTCTCATTAATATATTTTTATCTGTTTTAAAATAAAAATAATTTTGTTCTTATTTTCAGGTCCAAATTTCAAACCTAAAAAAAATTGACGAATGTATTGATCAAATTGAAAAAAGAATTTCAAAATTGAATCAATGAAAAAATAATTAAATCTCAACTGGTGAGATTACGAAGTCTGCAAAATCCCCTTTTATTAAATAATTTAACTTTTAAGTTGATTAACTAGAATTAGCTCACAGCTAAGACTAAGTCCTTAATTGTGCTCAAACATTTGTGCTTAATAAGAGACTTTCAATAAATTACATAATTTTTCATACTTATATTGTTTCCAATTAAATTGTACTGTATTTTATGTTTATTATTCATCTAAATGTTTGGCTTCATTTTTCGCATTGTTTTCTCTTTAAGTGTAGTCGTTTGGTATTCTATTAATATGTGGAATATGATTTCTGATTATTTTAACAGCGAATTTAGCAAATTAATTGTAAATAATACGGATGAAAATGAAAACGAAGGATGAAATGTTATTGTTTTATATTAATAATGTAATAATTAAAGTGTAATTATTATTATTAACCATGTAATTAATAATAGTATTAATAATCCCGAATATTGAACGGAACTGTTGAAATGAGAATAACGATAACAGGATTTATCGATTTAATGTGAAAATCATTTTTAATAAAACAAAATGACAACTGACATATGATTATTTCTTTTTTTGAATATTTTCTTTTTAATCATAAACGGAACAGTTTAGTTTAATCCTTGTCAAGCCTTAGTTGTGATTGTAATTATTATGTAGGCGTTTATCATAAACGAGCTGTTGCCCGCGACTTCGTCCGCGTGGTATTAGAAAACATACAAACTATGTAAATTACAAAAAGTTACGTATCCCACGGGAACCGGACATTTCTCGGGGATGTAGCTTATCCCATGTGTACTCCAGACTTTGTTTTATATCTGTGCCAAATATCAATAGGAAATGTTAAACCATTGCAGAATGATCGAGTAAACATTAAAAAAATAAATTAATGAATCCCACAGGAACCGTAACTAATCCCGGGATAAAAAGTAGCCTATGTGTTGTTCCAGACTATGCTCTAAACCTGTGCCAAATTTCATAGAGCTCCGTCCAGCCGTTTAGGCTACAAACGCTAACAAACATCCATCCATCCATCTATGCATCCATCCATCTAAACTTTCGCATTTATAATATTAGTAAGATTACTTTAAAGACATTCATTTGAATAATGTCATATACAATGTATTTTGTTTAGAACTTAACTTGAAATTTTAAAATATACGACATTCTAAAAATTATGAAAAAAATACAGTATTAAGAACCAACTTTGTTATATCACAAAGTAGATAAAAAACAAATGAATAATAATTATGTACTCGACATGAACGAGAATTATGAAATGAATACTTATGATTTTTTTTTCTTTTTAAGATACTACTTTTTAGTATAAAAAGATACAGAAATTCGCATATTTTTAATACTAAATAATCTTGTGTAACATCTAACAGTTCGTTTACACAAAAAGCAAAGGCTTTCTGTAAGTAGCAAAGCACTCACTGAATGTGTACTCACTTTTTCCGTTCTAAGAGAATATTAAAAAGGATTTCTTTAAAAAGTCTTACTCAACGTAAAGGACTTGAGTATTTCAATGGAGGGCTTTGAATTTTTTTTTTGTTACCCTACTCTTTGTCCCTTGTCACGAATGAAGAGATAAATCTTCAATTTTACACACTGAATCTCGTTACGTGTTTATTGAAAGTCCTGGCTCCTAATCTTGTTAAGAACTTCGTGATTTTTATATTAAATGTACTTTGAGTTTGGAGGATTTTTGTCAAAATCACGACTCTTATGAAAGAGTTCAAAATCTATTTAAAACTTATATTATCTATACTAATATAATAAAGCGTAAATACACACTTCTTTGTTGCCTAAGATGTCAGCAATTACAGCATATTTTTGAATAATTCTTCTTTTTTCACGCCAGTAAACTTAGGGGGTAAATATTTTGCAAAAAAACCCTAATGTGGGAAAGAGACCATAAGTTTCTGCCACCATCAAGGAAGCAAAGCATGCTTTGTCTTTATGTCATGTCATTTTGACGTTTGCAATTGATAATTTGACATATGTAAACAATGAAATAAAATTTTCATAATTTTATGCGGATGAAGTCGCACGGGAACAGCTAGTCATGTGTGTTGATCACTCTGTATATGATTCTAAAAACGGTTAAAATTGTGTTTGATCCATCTGGTCCTTACTGGTGTAATCGAAACATGGTACGTTGAAATTTAATTATTATTTTAAAGCACGCACACCTTTGACTAAATGATTGCACAATCATTTAGTCGCGCTTTGAGCTTATTTGGAGGTGCGCACACTACTCGATTTTTAGT